TGATTTCCCTTTCATCAAAAAAGAACTCAGGAATACGTGAAATTTTTTATATCTATCAAATTAATTCTACTTAAGAAACTCAGAACACAATTAGATTTACTATATTTTCTCGAGTAAGGTTTAATAAGGTTTAAAAAAGCCAGAGCCGCCTTCTATAAATTAAAGAAAATTCTAATTATTAGAGATATTACGTTAAACCTTAAAATCAGATTAATACGCTGCTACATATTCTCCACATTGCTGTGTGATATGGAGAGCTGGACCCTTACAGAGACATTAATGAAAAAATTAGAGGCCTTTGAGATGTGGATATATCGACCAGTATTGCGGATAAGTTGGGTTGATCGAATAAGAAATGAAATAGTTTTACATCGAATGAAAAAGAGCACAGAAATAACAAAAACGAAAAAAATTCGAAAGTTACAATATTTCGGTCATGTAATGAGACATCCAGAGAGGTATAACCGTCTACACCTCATAATACAGGGTAAGATCGGCGGCAGGAGAAGCCCAGGTCGACGAAGAACATCCTGGCTCCGATATCTCCGAGAATGGTATCAAGAAAGCACCGCTAATTTATTTAGAGCCGCCGCAAACAAAATTCTTATTGCCAATATGATCGCCAACGTTCGATAATCGGATTGGGTACTGAAAGAAGAAGAAGAAGAAGGTTTAATATAAGTCTGGACCGTGCAGTTTTTATAGTCACTTATGAGATTCTTGTTATTACTTTATGCTCTGTATTTAAAGTACGCAGGAAATGGTAGATACTTAATCCAAATAACTAAGGTACTATAATAGCCGTACTATTAAGCTAAGTAGGCGATATATACATGGTTTAGAAGCAGACATAGCTTAGTACATAGACGTATAAACAATAAATCATCTCAGATACACCTTTACTTAGGAACATTTGCAGTAAACAGAAAATACAATAATATTTATATTGATAAAAGTGTAATGGGAAAAGTTTGTGTTGATTAAATTTAGTAAGAAGACATTTGAAAATGTAAAGAATTCAACATGAATATTAGGAAACGCTGATAGGTAGATAACATAATACATTATGAAAACCAAAGACAAATAAGGCTGCCATGCACAGGCATTGGTAAACTTAAGCCGGATTTATAAACGGACATAAACATAATTTTAGTCTTTAACCATAATCTTATTACATAAACATAATGTTGAAAGTTAATAAATAAATGTACCTATTTATAAGCATTTATAATACATAAAACATAAATTTAGTCCTTAAAACGTGACCTTCAAAGTTGGTAACTTTCAACATTTACGAATTAAGTATTAAACATTATGGAATTGTTGGAATATGCGCATGTGTAATCCAACGTAAAAAATTAAAGAACTGTTCCTCATTCCATTCCTTATCACACTTTGTATTTATGGGTCTTACACTATACCTTCATACTCTTCTTTGCTTTTTAAGAACTCTGGCAGATATAGTTGCAATTGTTAAATAAATAATCTTCATATTTATTTAAAATTATTCCATTTTTATATTAATCTAAAGACCAGAAAAAATTCTTCAAGATCTCTATAAAAATTTGGTTAGGTTTGTATTTTCTGAAGTAGTTTTTAAATATTATGGTTAGGTATTATGTCTAGTTATAAACCAATCTTAAATCTTGTGAATTATGTTTGTGGTTAAAGTTATGTTTATGACTTATGATTATGTACTATGTCCGTTTATAAACTTGGCTTAAGTCATTGCCTTACGGTATATGTTTATAATCAATATATTTGACTCGAACAAATATATTTGGCAGACTCTTTCACTCATCTTAAAATTTTCACATCTGACCAATCACAAATCAAAGACAGCTTGTGTTATCGCAAAAACACCAACTGTCTTTAAATTCTGATTGGTCTATCAGCTTCGTGTTTTCAGCGACGTAACAATGGATACTCTGCCGCATCTGCCGCATGGGGACACACATGTAAAACGGGAAGAAAATAGGAAGAAAATCCAAACAACACAAAACTGGATAAGCAGAGAAGCACTGAACTTACCTCAATACGTTCCACTGAGGTATTTATTTAATGACTCTGGACAGAAAAGAATCCTAAGGATAGTGGACGAAAGAGCAAACACCATTTTCAATGGTCTCGTAAATCATCCAAGCAGGACATTAACAGAGTTGACAAACTACGACATAAACACTAAAACGGTACATAAACGGCCAAAGCAACAACTCATTGGATATAGAGAAGAAGGATAAATGAAGAAAGAAATAGACACAGAGCCGACTACAGAGTATATTAGACAGTGTGCACCAAAAAAATATAGTATATAAGAACAATATACACCGGGGTGTGTGCAGGCACTATACACCCGGGAATGCACACCCCACCACACGCACACTTAGGTTAGATTAGGTTTAGATTAGAATGGGGAAAACAAAACACACAAAAAAAACATATACACGGAGTGTGTGAGAGCGTTATACACTTGGGAATGCACACTTCATAGTTAAGGTATTAGCATAGATAGACTTAGTTTTAAAAAACAAAAATCGCTAACTGTCTAATTATTGTCATGTCATCTTCAAGATAAACAAGAACGCCCGCTACATCACAAAATTTACATAACACAAATAAGAATGTATAAAAGACCCGTCGGGCACTCTATACCAGCCATCAGGCATAGGCCCTTCAGGCAGATCAAATATTGATCAAACGCGGACTCTGAGCATCGAGGTCATGTGCGGCAAGCATGGGCTCGGTGGCCAGGACTCACTTCTCGAACACGCAGCCGGCGAGGAGAACAAAATTTTTATTTTGTCAAATCGGCGACTGAGTGAACGAGCACACACATTCTTTTCCAGACAGAGAGCTGTCGGTCTAGACCGATGGCTCTCTGTCTGGAACACACGCTTTTTTTTAGAGACATGAGTCCCGAAGTGAAGCTAGAGTAACTTCTATAGAGTCAGTAAAGTTAAATAGGAAGAAAAGCCGACATGTGTGCTACTCCTACAGTTATCGGAATTGTTTATATGAAATCTAGACTCATCTGTTAACAAACAGTTTTTCCATTCGTTGATAATCAAGTTGCGGTATTCCTCAGCCCATAGTCTTCTCAATCCGTAATGTTCCCTGGTTAGTACTGGATGAGATGAACGTCTTCTTGCTTTTAAGCTAGTGATATGCAATTTTCTTCTAACGGCTTAATTTAAAATTATTCTTTCAGTGGCGTGACGTATGAGGCAACACTTGGTGAAAGCTCCAAACGTTGAGCCACTTCACGTTGCGTTAATCTTTCATTGATCCCCGTCACAATCTGTTGCATTTGGATAATATCTAAATGTCTTCGAGAAAAGATATATGACTTTAATATTCAACTTTTGCTGACGATAGTAAAAAAAGAAAAAACACAATAAGAAAATTTATTTTATTTCGTTTAAAATTGATAACAAAATGGGAGCATTAATATAATTTTAATTATATTAAGTTTTTACTCCGACTATTTCTAGTATACATAAAATATTACTTTGATCCTTATCAATTATTGAGCATTGTATTTTTGTGTACAAAATCATTTATTAATAGATATCTTATAATAGATAAATGTGGCGACTGACCAAAAACTTATATCGGTTAAACTGGCAAAACTTTTAACAAACGTATAGCAGAACATAAAAAGTCTTTCAATTATAAAAAAAAACAGATTCTCTATACGCACTTCAGTTCCTAGATCATAATTATTCTTTTAACGACGAATTTCAAAGTCTTCACATCCAAAATAAAAGCCTAACGCTATCTTTATTAGAATCTATGGAAACTAACAAATTAAAAAATACAAACATAATTCTGAATGAAGAACTTGAGACAAACAGTTCTCCTCTTTTTTGGACGTTTTTGTAGATGTTTTAAAGACAAAATTTTCAGTGTTTTATTGTTAGATATCTCAGTGAGTATAACCGTGTGTTCTGCATAAAAACCAATCAATTTACGCAGCGTCACAATTTTTGTGGTTAAAATATAGGAGTGTTTTTTGAGGGAGGATAGTTAGGGACTTATAGTTTGTTAGTCCAATAAGGTATAGGGTATATTTAGGATTTACAGGCTCGGTATTGCTCGATATAATTAAATTCTTCTTGACTGCTAGCTCAAGCTTGTTGTAGTCTCTTGTTAATTATTCAGATGTTTAAATTTTCTTCTTTCGTTTACTGTTTTATTTGTTTTTTTTTATTAATGGAAGTACATTGAGTTTTTATAAACTATCTGCCAATTATCTCTACCTATAAATCTTAAGAACAGTTTCTCTGGTTCTTTAATTTTTTTATTAGTCACTGTTTTTAATATAAAGATATTATCAGTTGTCTGCCTTTCTCCCTCAAAAGAGATTTGTTTTTTTATATTAAATTCAAAAATATAACATCCAATATTATATAGCCAATTATTACATCTTACTATGTAATTGAAGTAAATAATAGTTCAGAAATACTTGAATATTTCTTTATTAACTAAATAATACACATTTAAGAATAAAAAACTGACTTCCTTCACTTTGCGGTGATTATTAAAACTTTGTCCTTGACTTTGCCTTACTAATAGCTTCTTCTTAGTCTCGGTGACTCTTTACTATCACAAATCAAAGCTAGGTGTACCTTTTTTTTACATTTATGACACTTATTATTCTTGAACCAGCAATTTGGCTTTATATGCGCCTTTTTACCACAACAATGGCAAATCGTACTGGCATACTCTTTCTCCTTAGCTTGAGATATCACTTTGTTAATTTCTTTACACTCCCCTTTTCGTGCTACCATGTGAGACTTGCTAACAATGATAACAGCCTGCTGAAAGGTTAAATTTACTTCAGTGAATAACTTCCTAATAACTGATTGATTTTTAACCCGTGGCCAAATTTGTTTCAAAGGGCTCTATCTAGATAATTATTAAAATTGCACGTTATCGCCAAAGATTTTAAAACAGCCATATATCCCGTTATACTCTCTGACTCTTTCTGGACCCATAACATGAATTTAATAGGTATTTACAATTTTAGAATGGTCAGGTTCAAGATGTTTCTGCACCATTTTTACCAATTCCCCATAGGTTTTATCCACCAACCTTCTAAGAAGAATAACTCCGTGAATAATGCCACAATGTCAAACCTTACATATTTTAACAAAGACTGGGACCATTTATCTTCCTCAATATTATGCACTTTCATTTTGTTCTTGAAAACTTGAGTATAAACTTTTCACTTTGACTTGGGCATCGAACGCAGGCATATGTAAGTTTCCTACGGAATACACTAATGGTGTATACCTGGATCGACTGGGAGGCCAAATACTGCTCCTCTCCGTATTCGGACATATTATTTAATAGGCGAGACAACAGTTTAAATTAATAAGACTGCTACCTAAAATAGACTTCACGGCACATGGATAAGCTTAATACGGACGTAACTCGTAATATCCTCGTCGCCAATTTTCACCATTGGGTATTTCTCGAATTATAAGTAGAATATTTTTCACCAACAACAATATAGTAAACAGGTAAAGAAATAATAAATAAGACTTACTCACAATCAATTTAATTTAACTATCAGACGACCGGTTTCGCTTTCTACAATATGCAAAGCATCTTCAGGTCTCGATACAAAGTTAAATAAATGCTGAAATGATAAAAACCCATATTAGGGTGTTGTCTAATAAAGATAAATCTATTTATCTTTATTTATTAAATTTTAAATTTATTAAATTTATCTTTATTAGACAACACCCTAATATGGGGTTTTATCATTTTAGCATTTATTGAACTTTGTATCGAGACCTAAAGATGCTTTGCATATTGTAGAAAGCGAAACCGGTCGTCTGATAGTTAAATTAAATTGATTGTGAGTAAGTCTTATTTATTATTTCTTTACCTATTTTAATGGACTCACACAAGCAACACATTCATGATTTGAACAATATAGTACTTAATAAAAAATTAATAAATAATACACGAATTTTTATTTTTAATAGTGATATTAATATTATTATTTTTGTTTCAGCAACGGGAGCCTTCGCCCCCGGCATGGAACCGAAACGTCAGAGAACCGCCTACACCCGCCACCAAATCCTAGAATTAGAAAAAGAATTCCACTACAACCGATACCTGACGAGGCGGAGGCGCATCGAAATAGCTCACACGTTAGTCCTCTCTGAACGACAAATCAAAATCTGGTTTCAGAACCGCAGGATGAAATGGAAAAAAGATAACAAATTGCCGAACACGAAAAACGTTAGGAGGAAAACGAATCCTGCAGGGGTGACAACTACCACGCCGGGGTCTGGTGCTAAGTCGGCGGGCAAAGTTCGAGGGAAAACACAGAACAGCACTCCGGGAAATAACAATGATAAACGGAAAAACAACAACAGGTCAGTGCATTAGAGTAAAAAAGTTTATATATAAGACGGAAACTTTACCCTGACTTCGGGATAATAAAAAGGCTATTTAATGCATCTCAATACTTTTTTATATAAAGACAGATTACTTTGGTATGAAAAGTACGTAGTGAATACTGTTATTTATTTTTTACTTCTTGATATTTTTTCATTAATGATTTTTAATTATTTTTGTGGAACAAATTACAAATATAATTAAATTTACAAATACATTGTTTAACAGTGGATTCTACTGGCAATTATTATTATTATTTATATATTTCTAATTAAATATACACTCAATTAATATATTTTTAGGATAGTTTATTCCAAAATAAATATATGTAGACGGTTGAGTTTGGATAAAATTCGAGTCTCTTATCATTCTCTTACAAGTGTTTCTGGATCTACTCGTCATCAGAGAGACTTGCAAGAAGACTTAAACCAAATTAAAACGCACCGGCAAATGTGGCAATTATAAGATATAATTAGCACAATATGCTGGATTTAATTCGTATCTATCGGTGCGTTTGGATTTGGTTTTAGTCTTATTACAAGTCTCTCTGATGACGGGTAGACCAGAAACACGTATAAGAAAATGGTAAGAGACTTGAATTAATTCTAAACGCAACCGTCTACATATATTTATTTTGTTTTCGTTCTTACTCGACAAAACAAGTAGAAAAATGATGCTGATTTATATGAATATGCCTCTGAATGGCTTATTTAAGCTTGGGTATACAGTTTGCTTATCGCTATCGACATTCACTTCATAGTTTATTCCATTGACCAATATCTATCTTCTATCAACCGTTGCCTTAAAATATAATAGTTATAATAATAAGCCATGACTCAGTAGCAAAGAGTATCCACCAAGAACTAGCTGACAAACTGGAACTTCTCCAAACCGACCATCTTACTTAACATCAAGCTATACTGGGACCGCACTGTGCACAGACCAACCAGTGGCACATAATAGATCGGATTTTATACTATTTAATAAACACACTAGGCAAACAACACTTATTGATGTGGCGATATCGATACCAATAATATAATTTACGTGTTAAATACAACGAAAAGATCGCCAAGTACAGAGATCTAGAAATACAAATCAGGAGACAATGGAGATTGGAAATTGCCCAGACAGTACCTATTATTCTATTTACTACTGATGTTATTCCCAAAAACCTCCTAGAGAACACAAAACAGCTGGGTCTATATGAACATCACTATAAGACCATGCAGAAGCTGTACTCCTCGCGACGTCCAGATGTGTACGAAAATTTTTGGGAGATACACTAACATACCAAGTCACCTAGGGCTTGATAACACGGAAAGAGTCCCATTAGAGCTTTATTCATTTAATACTGTAGGTATCTGGGATGAGTGAACTTTCCCCTTAGAGGGAGTGTGAGCCGTACGGCTAAATCTGGGAAGGTTACGTTATTCCATCGCAGCACCTCTTTTTACCATTTTGTTTTAAATAAAGGTATACAAATATGGTAGAACAAACACCTGGTGTTTAGAAATGTAGACCAGTTATTCATTTTTCTTCTGCAATACTTTAGTATTTGTAATTCTTTCGATATCATGATGTCGATATTTGATGCTACCTAAAAATTTGCCTAGCTGTAGCACATGCAAAATATGTTGATGTACATCGCTAGGTAGTCGACAAGATGTTTCTAATGTCTACAGAATGTTAGAAAAATGTCCATTGGAAGATCTAAGTCGACAACTAGTACGTGAATGTAGTCTAGTAACCCATGAAATGTTTTAAAATGTTGCTCAATTTCGAATAGCGACTTTATAATTATATTGACGTTGGGGATTTATTATGAGCATTTATACTTAAATAATTATAGCTGATGAGTAAACTGTTTGGAATTATAAATGAATTATTTTAAAATATAGTCAATTTTATTTACATTTCATATAATACAGTTTCCTATTATTGTTGCAAATTTTTTTTGCAATGTAATTTTTTGTGAGACGAAAAATTTGAAATTGATACTAGAAAAACATAGGTGTTGCGTTTGGCATTTAAGAGATGTAACAGTATAAAGAAACTGATATTGAAATGTTGACACCAATTCTATTAGGAATATATAGAGGAATCCAACTTTTCCATGAAACAGATTTGATGACACCAGAGCTAATCTTCACTGAGAATATTAACACAATTATACTATCCAACGGACAAAAAACATGTAATTCTAACAAAACTTTCAGCCGAGGTCAATATAGAAGTGTGTTCCAGAACTTACAGACTGAAGTTTTTTCTTCAGTGACCAGCATTGATGAATTTCTGAAATAAGACCCCACAGCAAAGAGAATCAAAAATTTATACAGATAGCCAAGCAGCTATTACGGTCGTACAGAAACCTACTTACCAAATCTAAAGATCAGCTTGACTACCTGGCAAAAGACAACAAATTGTCTTTATTGTAGGTGGTAGGTCATAAAGGGGTGCATAATATTGAAGGAGCAGATTTGTTGGTTAGACGAGGCTCGAGAGAAACCTTTGTAGGTGCTGAACGAATGTGTAAGATCACCAAAGATGCTACAAGAAACGAAAGTCAGAATTAGCTTATAAAGAATCATTATAAGAAATGGACAGTCACTTAAAAGCAAATCCAAAGTACGAAAATATTCAAGAATAATATGCAAAGAAGAAATTGCAAAATAAAAGAAAATACTGCTATAAATATCCTATGCCATTGCAATTTCCTAAGTGATATTGTACAGGCCTTAACTGGTCAACTGAGGATTGAACCTGAAGTATGAGAAAACTGTTACCATTCGTTTTCTTTGGAGAGACTACAGAAATTATTGAAGTTTAATGAAAAAAAAAGGATAGGTGCAAAGGGCTTATGACCAAGTGGCAGAGAAAAACACTCTCGCCTAAATTAAAAAGAAGACATATTTTGTATTGTAATTTTGTTAAATTTTTTATTTTAAAGTTTATTATCCTTCCCGATTTATTCTATAATAACTTTATCCTTCTAAGCCTTCTCTAATCCATATTTAGACATACGCAATTTACAATCCTTTCCATCGGTCTCTATTGTGAGCAACACATTTCTAATTTGTTCCGGCTATTCTTTTGATGTCGTCCACCAATCTCATTTGTGATCTTTCTTTTGGTCGTCTACCTTTGCAAGGTCTCCAATGTTGGATTGTGGTTTTTCAACGTTGGTCTTTTTGTCTAGCAGTGTGACCTGCGACGCTCCATTTTAATTTGGCAATATCTTAATTTTTTGTTTTTATTCTTACCCCGTCGTTCCTGTTCTATCTGACTATACCTAGCATTGCTATTTCCATTGCTCTTTCTGGTGTGGCTAGTTTATTTAGTTTATTCATATTTGCCTTGTTTAAGGTCCAGATGTTATCCGTATGTCATCATAAGAAGGATGCATTAAATAGATACTTCGCTCCTCAAGTATTGCGATATTTTGCAGTTCTTCAGTATCCAACTGAGTTTTCCAAATCCTGCCCATGCCAGTCTTGCTTTTCTAGTGATTTCCGTACTTTGATTGTCTTGGTCAAGTTTTAGAATTTAGTCTAGGTAGATATATTCTTGAACTTATTCTATCTCACTGCCATTTATACTTATACGTCTGGGATCGTTTGTGGTGGTCATTGTTTAGGTTTTTGTCATATTCATTTTAAGGCCGACGTGTTGGGAGCTGTCTGCAAGTTCCTTCATCATAATTTGTAATTCCTCGAATATGCTCGTTATAATCACGATATTTCTAGTGAATCTGAGGTGGTTTAACTTGTTGTCATTAACGTTGTTGCCATAGGTTGACCAGTTTGTAGTTTTAAAGATTTTTACTAGGGCTACATTAAAAACCTTTGTAGATATTACGTCGCCTTTTCTAACTTCTCTCTTAATGGGGATGGGATTTGTAGTTTATGTATTACTAAACAGTTTTTATATTTCATTGAGCAACGATATAGGTCTATAATTCTTTAGGTCACATTTGACCCCTTTTTTGTGTAAGACTCTCGTTCCTGTTTTTAGCCATTTAGCTATTATGAAGACATCTATTAAATAGCTCTGTTAGTATGAGAACTGTTACTGTCTTGCTTGTTCTTAAGAGCTCTGCAATTATACCGTCGTTCTATGGAGATTTAATATTTTTTCGCTCTTTTAAAGCTATATTCGGTAATCCCTCTATATTCGGTAGTATATCTGATCCCAAGTTTTTTAATTTTCTTTTGTCGTTCTCTTTTGTTGATTAATTAGGCTGGCTTTGCGAGCTGTACAAGGTTTTGTACAAGTCTTCGACTATCTTTTGTTATTTTATATTTGTCGTTCTCTTCCTTAATACTGGTGTCTTTAATTTTGATTATTTTTGGACACCCAGTGTTGGTCTTAGAAATTTTAGGCTTTCGTTGTTTTTAATAACTTGCTCTATTCAGTTTTTCTTCCATTTTTTTATGCGGCATTTTTTTTATTGTTTAATTAAGTTCTACGTATTCTACTTAGTTCTTGTTTTCTTTGCGACCTATAGTTTGACTTTGAGAAGGTTTTAATTTATATTTTTGCTAATGACGTGAATTTGGTCTTGATTGTGTTATGGATTTGATTCGAACTTACCACTAAGACCTTTCAGATTTCCTCTTACAAAGGTATGTATAACATGCATGCTTTATTCTTTCACTAATTTCAGGTTTTTCTTCTCTTGCGTTTCTTGTACCAAATCTGAAATTTTCAATCTTGTTTTTGGAGTCTTTAATTTTTACAGGAATTTATCTTTCTTGTAGATCTTAAATTTTTCTTCCAATTTTGGCGGTGAAATTTTCCATTATTATTATTTTAAATTCTTAGTTGTTTCCTATAGCTTTTTTAAGGTCTTCGTAAAAATAATTTATTTCATCATTAGTTACATTTTTAGTTGAAGTATCTGCTCAATCTGCTTTATCTGGAGTATTTGTTTAAGTTTGTGAATTTAGTTTTTTGATCATGTATGTAACCCTGTCCGAGATGCTCAATTAATTATTTATATTTGGGATTTTCTTTTCTTATTGATTAAGCAATCTACTCCACAGTATGTATATTCTTATATATACCCTTCACCTCTTCATTTAACTTCTGATAGTTCCACTGTTTCCCAATTCATGTTCCCTAATTTCTCTTCTAGTTCGTAAAGTTTTTCATCTTTTGCCACTCAACATATGTTCTATGTTGCTATGAGTTGTTTGTTGTTGTTCATCTTCTTCAGAGTCGACTTGTCTCCTTAAGAATCCTTGGGTTGCTTCGGTTTGGGCTAGTGGAATAAAGGTCATACCCACCTGGGGTACCTTGCGTATCTCTGTTAAAATTAAGATTTTTAATTTTTAAAGGTTTTAGCCATAGCAGGCTAATAGCCAACCAGGGTTGGTCGAGTAGAAGAATATGTAATTTCGACCGTTACAACCAAGATTAAGCGGCCTAATCAGTTTAGGCAAGACCCACCGCAAAATGGTCGGCACCACTCACTCATAATGGAATTATTATCCGACAAGCGAGAGCTAACGGGTTTCGCGTAGAACAAATTGAAAAGTGGAAGGGATTGCTCATTTCTATTGCAGTCGGCTAGGAGTTCACATCGTTTAATTAGTGCTAGACAAGTGTATTAAAAGGCAAACCTTTAGGATATCAAGCACGGGAAATAATGTTCAATGTTTTTAAATTTACAACCGAAGAAGCTACTGCAGATCAAGTCTTAGTTGATTTAAAAAAGATACAAGAACGTGTAGCTCAATTAACTGGTAATTATAATACTCATTTTCAAAATGAATTTAGATTTAAATAATTTAATTTTAGTTACAATCAATAAAATTATAATCAATAAATAAATAAAAACTTACAGAACAAAAAATACCAGTAAATAATAAGTTAACAATTTGGACACTTTAATTATACATTTAAATACGTTGCATTTTTCATAAATAGGAAACAAAATAGCAATAACATCACAAGATAAAAGGCCGATAATACTTAAGTTTACCATCTGGCTAAGAAAAATAAACAAAGAACGTGTGTTCTCTGTTGTATTTAGTTTAGTAATCATTAAGACACACAAGTTGCATCAGTCCGCGATACATAAAAATACCTTTCCTTAACTACGTTTTATAAAAATAAATATTATTAACAAATTTGTTTTAGGTTTTGTTCAATACTATTATTATTTTTGTTTTGTTTTCGTGGTAAATAAGTTTATCACACACGCAATGACACAACCACGGAACATATCTATTAACGTAATTTTCAGATCCCAACTAAATTTTTGATACGGCAACTACGTACGCATTTGTGACACCAGCGATTAAGTACCTCTCCTATCTCTCTTAGAATAATTCCTTTTCTATTTTCGCGCAGCTCACCCGCCAGCTCTCGCTTGTCGGATCATACATTTCCTTACTTCCAGTTGTTACAGTTATTTCGCTGATACACGGTCGTCAGAGCCTCGTTTCTGATAACAGGGTTCACCAACGCGAAGATAGGGTTGAACTAAGTTGTAGAGCCTATTTGAACTACATCATTACCCCATTGAAACCCCATAATATCTTAAAACTTTATTATTATTTTATACCATAAGCATTATCTAATAAAAATATAAAATATAAGGTAATTAAGGCATTAATTTGTGATTTGAAGCATTTTAATAAAAGCTACATTTTTCCTTTCTTAAAAAGTGAATTACACAAAAAGTACAAAATATGATAAGTACCTCATTATACGAGTGTATTATATAATATTATTATTATAGTGCTTGTAAACTGCGCAAAGCTTCTTTCCTCAAGTTTGTTCTTTCTTTCAGGGATATGGACGGACTCGGTGAAAATATGCTGGACATGTCACTGAGCGGTCAACACCAGATTTCTCACGGACATCCCGGCCTTCACCACGGAATGTTACACAGCGATCCTAGTATGCATATTGGCTCGTTAGGATCCTCACTTACGCCCCTTTCGTCCTCGCCGGGATGTGGAGTTCCGGGAACACCGCAGCCAGTTATTAAATCAGACTATGGACTCACTGCTCTATAAAAGTGAGTGTAAAGCTCAATGTGTAGGTGTTAAACAGAATTGGGTTGCATAATGGGAATTTTTATTTGTTTGAAGTAATGTTGTTTAAGTTGTGTAGTTTTTTTATACATAATTGTTGTAAGATATGGGGGAACGTAGTCTAATCATAAAAAGCAGATTGTTTTTTATAAACTTTGACTTTTTTATACTAATATATTTAAAATATATATGACATATAATTGACTTTTATAAAGAAGAAGAAGTATTATGTGCTGTAAAATAGATCGAAGACAAGGCGGTAACTAAAATGGAGCATTACTTACATGTATGTTTTTTAAAAAAAAATTTACATTTTCACTTTTTTAACATTGTCTATTGACAATTTCTAATTTCCGAAATAATGTAATAATAATAATTTATATCAGAATAATTTCGTCTGAAAAATGATTTTATACTCGTAAATAGAAAACAGTTTCACAGTGCAGTATTATTTCTGCCCATATAGAAATGGATTGGGTCATGGTGCAAGTATAAAAATGTCTCACAAAAATGCAGGCAAACGCTTAACACATTGACCGCCCAGTGCCCATGCAATGTTTGCAATCGCTGAGATATCTTGTTATAGTTTAGTAGTGTGTTATCTCAATATTAGTCCTTATAATATTTAAGAAATTCTACCACGAACTGTGTCGAATCTGAATATTAGTGAGTCATGCCTACGTCTACTGTCCTTTCATTTAAAATTAAAGTCATTTCAATTAAAAATAAATCAATAAACAACAACAAAGTGTTTACAAAAGCAGACAAAGGTAATACTAGTATTGCCACAGTATAAAGAGGTTCCTCTTTATACTGTGGTATTGCTACAGATCAAATAAAATATCCAACGGAGAAGTAAAAAAAAATTTAACCAGCGTTAGAAAATTCAAAAGTCAATATGAAATTCAATAGAACAGAAATACCTCAACATCATGAATACAGCCTCCTAAATTATACTCTTTTATTAAACTACATAAACTTGATCACCCAATAAGAATTGTAGTTTCTTTTTGGACATCTCCGTCATATAAACGATAAAAAAACTCTTCAAATTATTTTAAAACACACTAAATTTTTACCTCAATTACCTAACAACTCAAAATTAATTTCATGTGACGTCAAAAACCTCTTTCCTAGTATTCCTCCTACAGAAACTTTTGTTCTAGTAACCGACCTTTAAGACCATAATATTTTACAAATTCAATCATTACCTCTGAAATTTTATACCTTCTTGAAATTTGCATAAACCAAGACTATAAATTACTTGAATTACTTACCAGGACTTAAATTTAATAATCAACTTTATACAAAAAGCAATCATCATCATCATTGGCTCCACAACCCATGGTGGGTCTTGGCCTGCTCAAGGATAAGTCTCCATTCTCTCTTATTCTTCGACTTGACTTTCCAGTTTCGTACTCCCAACATTCTCCTCTTCACCTTCAACAAGTCTTCCTCAATCTGATCCTTAAATCGTGCTCTGGGTCTGCCTCTCCTCACTCCATCTATTCTTTGATTATAAATATATCTTCTATAAATTCATCTTTGGCGGATTCATATCATTCATTCTCTCTATGTGACCTAACCACCGCAGCTGGTTTATTTTTATGGACCTAATAATATCAGGTTTGTCATACAGGCGATAAAGTTCGAAATTATAGCGTCTGCGCCATAATCCGCCCTTCTGTACTCTTCCATAGGTATGCCGGAGAATTTTACGCTCAAAGCATCTTAAACGTTCTTTATCGGTTTTTGTCATCGTCCATGTTTCCGACGCGTATGTGAGGATGGGCTTGATAAGAGTTCTGTATATCACTAGTTTCGTTCTTTTTGTAACTAGGCTTGTTAAATTTTTTTAATCCAATAAAAATAACAGTGTAGGACTTATATTATAGATAATGGTATAATGAGTAATCCTCTAAGCCCATTGCTATCAAATATTTTTATGAACAATCTAGAAACAAAGATTTTAACCCATATTTAAACAGTTTTTGTATTGGTGAAGATACGTAGACGATGTACTGGTATGTTTTACAGAAACTAACAGACAACTTGACCAATTCTTATCATACCTATTAATTCACTTCATAGTCATGTTGAATTCACAATAGAAAAATAACACAATCAATCAATAAACATTCTAGATTTAAAAATTATCCGACTTAAAAACAAACATGAGTTCTCCATATTTCATAAATCCACCCATGACTATACACAATGCATCATCCCATCCTACACAACATATATTCCTACTGCCATATATGAAATTGGCTGCCTACCAAAGCATGTTACATAGATTAATAGAAATTCCCATGTCAAAAAATAACTTCGAGATAGAACTGAATATCATTAAACAAATAGCAGTAAAAAATGATGAACTCTATAGAACTCTATAGACTTTTTGGTGATGCAGATATTGTGAAGACCATCAAGATAAACCGCCTAAGGTGGGTGGGCCACGTTATGCGGATGGATGAGAGTGATCCCACTAAAATAACTATGCTAAATAAGCCAGTCGGAAGAACAAGAAGAAGGGGGCGACCTAAACTCAGATATCTGGACGATGTACAGGAAGATCTGAGGGAGATTGGAGTGAGGGGCTGGAGAAGACAGACACTAGATAGAGAAGGATGGAAGAACGTTTTGAAGCAGGCCAAGGCTCACGAAGGGCTGTAGCGCCAACTGATGATGAGTAAACAATGATACAACTACCTGTAAGAAAGTTATTATTTTCACCACCAGAAAAAAACCCAGTACCTTCTGCTCGATTACATTTACAAACAAGATATCAACAAAAATAGCCAAACACATAAAACAGAAAGGAATAACACCAGCTTTTAGAACAAACAACAACTTAGGCAAATATATTAAGAACTTCTTCTTCTTCATGTGCCATCTCCTCTAAGAAGGTTGGCAACCATCACAGTAATTCGCACTTTCGATAATGCTGCTCTAAAGAGGTCAGCAAAAGTGCAGTTAAGCTAAACTCTCAAATTGTTTAACCAGGAGATGTCCTGCAATTATCCAGATGTCCTGATGTTAATATGCAAGATATAGGACATAACATGTCCCATATATTGCAGTTTTCTGACTTTAATTGTATTTAAAACCTCTTTATCCTTTGTTATTCTTTTCAACACCTCGACATTCATGACTCTATCCACGCAACTTATTCTTAATATCCTTCTGTAATCCCAGACCTCGAAGGATTCTAATCAGTCCAAAACATCTTTCTTTAATGTCCAACCCATAAAATATTACGGAGAACACGTAGCATCTCAGAAATCTTATCTTTAAAGAAATTGAGATGTCCCTGCTGCAGAGTACTTATTTCAGTTTGTTGAAAGAATTTCTTGCCTGTCCTATTCTTGCCTTAACCTCTTCTGTGTGTGTACTCATTATTTTTGTTAATTATTCTACCCAGATATTTATATTTTTCAACTTTTTTAATTTGTTCTCCATGTATTTTTATGTATTCTGGGCACTGTTGGGCTTTCGTAATTACCAGAAATTGTGTCTTTATGGTAATTAAAATTAATTTAATATTAAGAACAACAAGAGCCAAAAGAACAAGAAACGACACAGCGGTTTATACTACAGACTTAAATGTGACGACTGTCCAAAAACTTACATCAGTCACACTGGTATAATTTTTATGACTTCTTTTAATGACGAATTTCAAATTATTCACATTCAAAGTAAAGACCTTAAACTGTCTTTATTAGAATTCATAGAAATCAACAAATTAAAAAATACAAACATAATTGTGAATGACGAACTTGAAACAAACAGTTCTGCCCTCCTCAACTTATTTAGTTAAAGACTACAAAGTGTAAACAAATACTTAAAATAGATCACTTGAGAAAAGCACTCTAGCCGAAACAGCTGTAGTCATAATAATTTAAAATAATTTTGTGGAAGTGTTGAAAACAAAAGTTTTTAGTGTTTTATTGTTAGAATATTTAATATATTTACCTTGTCTGGAATTCCCTGGTCTCCGCCTTATACTCTATTGTTACGTTGATGTTCAGTTTTCAATTTCTGTATTTTTAAAAAGACTGATTGACATGATCTACATTTTTGTCAAAATCAATGGTCTAGCTAGAGATTTTTGTAATATGATCATAAAATTATGTTGAATACATTCTTCTAAATTAATTTTCAAATTAAAAAAATATTTTCAAAATATTTTTTAACGTTAAAAATACGTCTAGTTTTTATATGAGAAGAATATAAATAATGTATACTGTACTATCATATGAACTAAAATATAATATTTGGTATTTTTGATCCAACATTAATAATAAAATAATCAATGCCGCTACGTTGCCCTCATTTCCCGTTTCAATCGGCATGGCTATAATTTTACAGTCGACTGTTACTTCAATATAAAAACAATTAATTATCCCCATTATGCAAAATTCTATTTAATAATTAATTTATAAATAACTCACTGACAATATGAAAAATTATTCGCTCTGTAAACATGAACCATGAATTGTGTCACGAAGAATTATGTAGGTTTGTTCAGTATTTTTGCTGTATAGTCTAAATTTTTTTCATTTAAACCGAATAATAGGTATAAAAATTATACTGAAACTAATTTAAGGTGACAAATTATACGATGTTAAATTAATTTCTTCTCGTGCTGTCTCCCATAACGAAAGCTAGCAATGTTAAGAGCAAACTCAAGCTTCTTCTTATGGTGCCATATCCGATAAATGGATGTTGGCGACAGTTCTGGCATACTCCTCTCTATCTTGTGTGGCTCTAAAGAGTGCATGGGCTTCGAGGTTTGTCCAATCCCTTATTTTTTTAAGCCATGAGTATTTCTTTCTTTCGATGCCCCGTTTTCCTTCTATCTTCCCTTCCATAATAAGCTTTAAGAACTTGTACTTGGAATTTTGAAATATACGACCCAGATAAGCAGTTTTTCTTTTTTTTATTATTGGCAGCAATTCTAATTCTCTTCCCAATCAATT